AGGTCGAGCACTTTTTACATACATGACCTAATAAACATTTTTGTAACCCTAACAAAAGTTTTCATATATCAACAAGCTGAGATTGTTCGTCTTGTATGGGTGCTAGGATTCTGCAAACTCTACAACGACAGGTCCAAGTAGCATTTGTTTTTCTGTACAGGCAATTTCTACTTGAAGCATCGAACAACGCCAGAAGACAATGGACGCCAAGCCGCTTAACCTGAAATCAGAAACATTGTTCGCTGAAAATGACATTGTAAATAAGCCCTAGTATAGTACGCATAGCTATTATAACCGCCATGAGAAGTTAGACGGATATAGTATTTGGCGATGTTGAGAAATATGCATAAAAATTGTTTGTCTGATTCTGCCCTGATTCGAAGATTGAGATACGGTTCAACTTACAGCTTTTTGCAAACCGATCAAGGCGTTACAACAACTTCGCTTTTCTACAGTCTTACCATAACATCTAACAATAATGCAAACATTTTAAAATAGAGCTACGCGTTCAAAAGTATTTCTTTTTCGCGGACCCACATTTCAGAGATATGCTAAAAGGGCACTCTTTTCTCACAGTAAGATCGGTCAGAGATCCATTAGCCATTGTTAGGCTATCGATCTATGAGCATTGTGTGACAAAAGTTCGGCATTCAAACCAGAAAGTATTAATCTGAATTGAAGGTCTGTTGGACACGGGCATATCTATTACGAACTAGCCGTCAGAATCCAACGAAGTAAACTGTCAATTTCATGTTTCGGTAACTTTAATAAAGCTGCTATTTACATGTTTCCGCAACAGTGATAAGCGATAACAGCGCAAAGACTCTATAGTCGCCTTTGTCTATGGTGTCGCATGATCGATCATATACGCCCCATATACCTGTCAAGGTATGAAGAAGCTCCGAAGTTATCGTAATATTCGAATATACGTTTGTATACCTTTCATATGCCTTTCGGATGATGTCATATAAGTCCACCACGCGGCTACAGAATAGGCGCAGATATATCAAAGGCGGCATAACTCATAAAAATTCAATATGTAGAACATAAGAACTCTGTAGTGTGGATATATAGAAGGAAGCGATCTCGACCATTGTATTATAGGCCGTTGCTATAGCTCTGTAGTATATATATTTACAGTAAAATGTTTACTTTGTTTATACCTAGCATTGCCAACAGCAATGGAAGGGAATAGCTCAACAATCTAAACGATACGCAGTAAGTGTGCGTGTCTCCCTAGCCACTGTGTGATGTATCCTTTTGCTCAAGCTTGATGTCGTTGTTCCATGCTTGAAGTCCTACAGATGATACCAGTGCACTTGTTTGGATTATCACCAAACGAATATGATAATAACATGCTGCTATTAGATTGCGTTGTAACTTAGGAATTATTTTTAAATAATGTGTACCTTAAAATGCGTTCACCCAAAGTTTGTGCGATTTTTAAAAGTTGTGCCGACCAGACCAAAATCGACCAGTTTCTACTAAACAGTTGGTTATTTTACTTACTGCTTCCTTCGAGCTTTGTGATGTCACACAACATTGTGCCTATCATGCTATCAATGTTATGAAAACACTAATGAAAATGCTTGTTTATGTCTTCTTCCAGGCCGCCCAGAAAGAACAAGGAGATCGTACCTTTGACGTTCAATTTCTCTAAGCCATATTAGCCTCGTAATTCACGCTTTGCATTGCTTTGCAACGCGTGCCGATACTGAAGAGTCTGCTTACTTTCACGGCTAGTGAAAGCCGTTGCCAGGGGCACTAATAGCATGGTGCTGAGTGACGAAGCAGGCTATTTCAGAACAGCTTCAGGATATTGGTTTCGAATGTCGGTGTCCGAAGTGAGGGCCGGCCAAAACATAAATACCAGTTTATTTTACGCAGTTCCAGCCCAGGGGCAACGGATGCGTATGCCTCATGTTGGCACATCGTACTTTTCGTTCTTCTTCGCCGTCATGTATCGCTTCGTGGTCCCTAAATCAATTGTCCAATGTCCCCTCTCAACTGGTGCGAGTACTATCCCACCATCGCTGTTGGCATCGTCGAAAATAAAGAAAAGAACAGAATGTCTAAAGATTGTCACTCTCGTGCCACGCTCAAGCGCCGCAATTGATCCCGTGACAAAAAACTGAGTAACCGTGACCGCTGTGAGATCATTAGCGGGCTGCCTCTGCTGCTGCTATACCTCTACGGCCCGATGTCAGATAACCGACGAACTCAACAAGTCGATATTCCAGTCGTCCCTTTTTTACTCGGCGGTTGTTGTGGTCGTCATTGCTATTTCTGCTTATGTTGACACCGAGCTGGACCTAAAGGAAACGATAGATCGCGGACGATATGGTTCCTATTTGACCGATTTTCCCTCTATTGCTGACGAACAAAAGCGAACGGCGGACGCAAGTAGCAACTACTGTTTTGCGTTGATATCCTGTGCCAGCCGAAATGAGGGTTAAATAGTAAAAAAAAAAAGAGTAACTTGGCACAACAAGTTGATTTGACGACGAAAGCCGGATGCAGTGGGTCGTCGCTTCTGTTTCAGCCGCCGCTCCCACCGCCATCATTACCACCGGGAGCGCAACGAAGAGCCAGATCCCACCCAGACGTCAGAGAGAATTCAGCGCAAATAAGATCGATACAATAAAACATCGCAAGCGGAGAGCTTCGTCTGGCCATGTTCAAAGTGAAACAAATATAGGTAAGATTCAAAATCCACCCATTTAAACACAATATATCTCGGACGAGCCCCAACGTGTTAGAGAACTCAGATTTCGGATTCAGCATGCCGTCGTCAGCGCGTCGCGAGCGGCCGTGTAGCTCCATAAAGCAGTGGCCTATTTTTCAAAACAAATGATTCAGTGGCTAGCAGGCATTGACGTTAGGTAGTTTACAGTTGGAAATACATGCACGTATCGACCTTCCAAGTTCATTCCAGAATATCTTGAGGTGCTTCTATTATATGTAGTAACAAGTTCAAACACATGGCAAAGAGAACCGGTTTGCGGGGCAGCGTAATCTCCATGGGTGCTTATCATCTCTGAGTCCATTGTATCATCTGTCCAAGTTCAACTGGAATCACGTACATTTGAATGTTTGTGTTCGGAAATGGCCACTACGACGACAAATGGCTACCATATCATTTTTTAGGTTTGTTAGGGAAATTCCGAACAGGTCTAGCCAGATCCATTTCGATATAATTTCTAATGGGGGCTAGCCAGTCGGATGAGCAATACTAGTACATAAACTGAAGGGATTGGTGCTTTTTTTGAAATAGTATACCACAGCTAAGGCTCAGCGAAGTCGTGTACAAAGACAGCGATTCGTTTTGCCAGTTTGAAACCGTCTCTCATTTTCAGTCGCTCCTTAATAAAACGTCTATAGGTAAAAGCTGGCCGTGACGTTCGATTCGGGACGGAAGACGTTAACGCGATCGTCTACTTTAGCATTATCCAGACAAATTATCATCATCATCGAACCTAGCGATATAATATGAATAATTAGATTTTATGCTCGTTTCTTTTGTTATTATCTCGTTTCTTGTCCGCATAGAGTAAACTTCCAGAAAAGCAGCCATTTCAACTAACCGTCTAGAGTCACCCAGTAAGCATGTCCAATGACAGTTATTAACAAAATAGTTATGCAGACGACATTTGACAGCAAATGCATCGATGCACAAAGGATATTTCCTTTATGTTTATGTCCTGATAGCGCTGACGGAGGGCACCATTCGCTAGGCTTTTTTTTTTTTAATAGTTAAGGCTGATGAATAATCAGGACAGGCAACATCGCTTCCAAGGCGGCTCGATTGTAAAACTATTCACAAGCGATATTGATAAGGCTTTTATTATGTTTATTTTTCCGAAATGTGTATCGTCCTATTAGCGCTGTGCAAATCCCCAATGTTATTTGTTCTATGAATGTACTCTGTTACCATTATAGCTATTTTCAGTCTAATAGAACTATAGAATAACTATTATTGGTCGAATAAGGCACCGCTGAAATGCTCGAGAGTCACCTCTCGACATACAAACAACATGCCTAATACTAATTGTGCTGTCTTATATATTGAATAGAACGGTACAATTCGGTTTATGTGGGCGGAAAACGATACATACGCAGACAAAAAACGCTCCCGAATGAACGCAAATAGGAACGTTGACATGCCAATTGACGATTGTCAACTTTCTAAATTATCTTATGACAGAATGAAAACGGATTGTTATCGTCAACCGTACCCATGTCCTTGCGACAAAGCACTCGGAATCACCTATCCCTTATATATATGTATATATAGTTCTCCTTTACATTAAACATACTCGTTTGTTGCTCTGCTGTTTTATAGTAATTAAGAGCCACGATTGGATCTATGCAATCGTTGTACTCTTTTGAGCTGAGAAGCATCGTAATCAACAGATATGATCCTGATTATTAATTAAGTTCTATAACCTGTTGTAGACGTGCCGATGGACCTGTGTGACTGAGGACAGCATTGTTATTGAAAAAATGAAAATGCGAATATACTTATACACACGTTTAGTAAACGTGGCCATGTAGAAATCTGTGTGTGTCTCGAACGTTTTTCGGTCGCAACAGAAGTCATCTTTGTCTACCACCCTAACAGACAAAGCGACACCGTGTTGTCAAAAACACCTTTTAACAATGAGCAAAAAACCTCTCACGGCTCCTCCAGGCTGTTCATTAATATCTTTATCCAAATACATATTAGATCAATATAATTAAATTACTGTGCCGTTTCAAAGGATAGTCTTCCCTCCCTTGATTATAAATACTTGTATATTTAAATGCTGGTCTTTTGTCCGTCGATTCATCGACATCATCGTCGATGATATCGCGGAAGATAATTGAGGCTGGGCTGCGAGAGTTAACAACGGCGAGATGGCGAATCCATTGACTATTGTACCATCTGACCATATCCATCTGATTCATCTAGCGATCGTCGAAAAAAGGAAGGTAAAAGGGTCCGCAGCGCTGCAACATACCTTATATCGCGTACGCATTTTCGTAGGATCATCTACTTGAGATCTAACTATGGAACTAGCTTTTCGGCGATCAGATTAGTATTTGTTTACTTGCACGAGAAACTTAGATGAAGAACACTCGGAAGAGCTTTGAAATAGAGAATTCAACTGACAATAACAGCCGTTTGCTATGGGCGCAGGCCACTTTAAGTTCCCTTAACGCTTCTCCATCACTTTTTGTATCCTTTTGCATTAGTGTTTCGCGCTTCCATCACCACCGTATCTCTCCTCCGCTTACTCTATATTGACAATAAAACTGTTGATAGCGTACACTTTCAATAATCGGTAGCCTAATCTACTTTGTCGAGCAACGGCTCCCTCCTAATTGGTAGGAAGTAGGTTTCGTTAGAACGGGGTTACTTGTACACTGATCGACCTAAATGACACACACCATCACCCACCGATGCACTTGTCACGCAATCGTTACGCACTAGCTTCCTAAGATACAGGGAACGATGCAAACGAGGGGACAGAATTAAGATACTGAGATTAATTCAGAATGAACCTAGACATTCAGGCCGACGTTGGTCTCTTCCTTCCTGTTTACTATTGTCGCTGACGCCACCTAGCAGCGGATCCTGCGAAATTTTCTCCCCCAAAAGCACGCATGCGAGAATACTTTAGTTATCTAGTAACTTGGCTCTGATCAGCTTTGTCTCCCGTTGGCTTCGTTGCACCGCAGCATAAATATGCGACAAGGAAACGACATACGCAGCGAACGACAAAAACTATGAGTTTCCTCAACTAAGCTCTTTTTTCTGTTTGTTTTTCTGCTATTTTTTCGCCTCCCAGCCAGCAGCTGCCTGTGCTAATAATGCATTGTTTATTCAGACTTTTCTTGGCTTCTCGGCCACAAAGACGCACTAGTCGACTAGCGACAAGCAAACTGTGAACTTAGATAGCACGAACACAATGCCACGTCGTAGTTTTACAACACGCAAACGTTACTGGAGCTTAACTGGTCTTTCTCGATAAGTTCTTTAATTACACACAGCTTCTTTCTTTTGTCCTCTTCTGTTTTCCTTTTTCCGACAACTTGTTCCTGCGTTTTGTTATAATCCATAGTAGTACACACTTGTTATTTTTAATCCAGAATCGACGTGTACTGATGTGCTGTTGCCAGAGTTGTTTCCAGCTTATAATAGCATTAGGAGTGAGTCCTAGCAATAACTGCTACCTCAATTAACGCTTTGCTCGACGCAAACATATATCTACTACTTGTTTACCATTGTTACATGATGTTTCGTTAATGATCATTGCCGCAATCGGCTCTAACGTAGATACAGACGATCAAAAACGTTTTAGCTATTTATTAGCACTTAATGAATTGTTCGGCTTTCCTTTCGCCGCACGCAGTCAGGGGCTATTCTGTCGTTTCAGCAGTCAGCGGCATTCCGATGCCCCGCTACTTAAGTGATTTCCACAAGAACTAGCAACCCTATTTTGCAATGGTCATGTAACTCCTTGCGGTAACGTAGCTGTAATAGGTAGCGTTTACTGGAGGGTAAAGGCAGACGATGGCGGCAACTGGGTACGCGCAAAAAACACTAAACTTCGGATTTGGCAAGATGTTGACACACTGTTTGCTAGACTATATCAGTTGTTGCACGTGGCGCTGTTCGCTGTGTTTTCACGATGGTAACAGCCGCGAGTACTATATGCGAATCAAGTAACAATCGGGCCTGTTACTGTTTTACAGTAGCTGCTGCGGCTGGAGCTATGTAATGGATAGCGATGACAATGACGACCATTAACCCAAACAACGAAACTCGCCCACAGAATCGCCGTAATCGTCGTCTCTCTGCGTCAATGCGGAATGCTGCAGCCGTCGAATCACCGCGCATCCATCTATCCTCGTATTTATTTGGCTATTTTTCCGTCTGGATTAACATTGCTGGTTGTCGCACCAAAGTCATGACCGTCGAATGGCGGATAGCCTAGCGATCCGCGCTCTATACTGTTGACCTGGGAACTAGAACAGGCGATAGTTGTTGGTGCCTAAATTGGAGGGATATAGAGTAGCTTGATCAATCAGGGGAGCAGCAGCTCTATCACTCTGGCTACGTGATGACAAAGTCATCAAACAAAAACTCTCGGCAGAGGTCTATACTGGCTCCGACAGAGACAGTCGCAACGGCTGCCACCGTCATACCAATGATGTTAGTCACCTGACGCGGATGCTAGTATTCCGCATGACTGCATATTACTACGAGTTGTATCTAGAGACAGCAGGCCCTTATACGGTGGCGGTAGACGCAGGAGGCTCCTGCGCGCTCTTCGGACACGTTCTGAGGAAACCACATTGACGTTTGGGCCCTCCTCTCTGGCCTGGCCTCGTGAGGCCTCTCCCTTAGGCCGGCTCACCGACAACGGTGGAGCCGACCTCCACCGCTAGGCGGCATTCCAGTCGATAGCGAAGCCGGCAAACGAAGAACTCTATGGGCGGAAACCTCGTTGGACTGTCCGACCCTCTCAACCCCCCGCCTTCATCTAGATAATAACACTACCACTGCTGCTAATGCTGAAAGCTGCCCCACTCGGTACCCTAACTTGACAGTGGAAGGAACGTAGATATGTCCTGGTTTGTACTGCGTGGGTGGTGAGCAGTTAGTTCAGCTCCCGGCTTTTTCCGGAAGCACCATAGAATGTATATATATATATGTTTGATTCTACCTAATAGAAGGAATAATAGGGGTCTCTATTATTACGGAACTTTTAAGACGAACATGTTTAGATTTAAAAGGAGCGAAAATATTGGAAAGAAGATAAAATTCAAAAAGTACAAGCAAATAATAGGTATAGAGCTTTTCTGTTAACAGGGTAATGTAAAATCGTTTAACATGGCTGCTTAGCCCTTAATTTTTTGCCTTTTGCAAATATTCATCATAATCTATGTGGCATTTCCTTACACTAGTTTTTTCTAAAGTGATCATGATTACGTGTTAAGCTTAAAGACGACAATGTAATATCTGCCGCGTTATTACTCCAAAACCGAAATTGATACTCAACCGAAATTTGAAATCTTTTTAAGATTACCATCATGCTGTTGGTAAAACTCGTTTAGTTACAGGACAATCACTCTCAGAAGCTATTCACTTGATTGTAAAGTTTACTCCAAAAAGGCTTATCTCGAGAAATTTCGCACACTAAAAACACACGCGTATTTTCCTTGATGGTAAGACGAGCCCGTAGTGCTGGCATAAAAATACGTCAGGAGATCTTATCGATATCGAATGTAAAGCTAGTAAACCTTACAGAGAGATTATATTTCTTCACTTGTCATCAATTATCAGTATACCTGAAACTGATAATATAGCTTTTTCTGCGTTTACTTACTTTTGCCATTAAATCTAGACAGGTATTTATATTGGAGTATTCGTTGATTAAGGCGCCGTCAACGGCCAGTAAAGGAAACCTCCTTTCTTTCCTAACGGAAAGGAAATTCTAACGTGTTATAGTGTCTCACTTACGTGACAGCCTACAATACAATCAACCTAAAATCTCGTCAAAGCAGACTAGGGCCATTGCACATCTATGTTAGCACAAATTGTCAAATCTACTTACTCAAAGTAATTTCAATTTTTTCGAAATTCATTAGGTCAGAACAAGTTTGCGTCTTTTTGGATCCATCATCGCCATAAAGTGCTGAGACACTTTCCATTGAACAGTTCGTCTCATAGGCTTGTAAACAGATACATACCGTCAGAAGGGTTGAACAGTCACATGTCATAGACTTACAGCTTCCAGGGTTTGTCCGAATAAACTTCAACGTACGACATACGATCTTATAGTTATTTAATGCAATGCTTAAAAAAGTAGCCATCATGGACTATAAGACTTGCGTGATTACTGTGGAGCCCTTTTTCCCCTCTCTCTAGCTCGTTTGCCCTCGTCTTCGCGTTGCTATGGTCGGTTGGTCAATAATATGTACATTTTTGCTAAAATCTGACATTAATGCGTCAATAATCGCTTTGGCAACACATTTCGCTCCTGCAACCTTCCGCGATTAGTAATCCGGTAATGTCTTACAATTCATTCAGCCAATGTCATACAAATTATACTGTAAATATATGGCACACGTCATATATATTTATATGCTCGTTGTTACTCGAATGGATTTGCATGCAACCGTAGGGCAATGTACCAATTTGACCACCCACTGAAAGGACCCACAACCAAAGAATGGACTTACAAGCGACCCAACTTTTTGCCGCGATAGGCCAATTAAACAGTCTAAAAGAATCACCATAAACCTATCAGGTGTCGGTACCCATCATCTAACGAACCTTACATTTGCTATACTGCCCTAATCTTGGTCGACTAAGCCAAAATATTTTCATCGAAACGTTAGTAGGACACGTATGTGCCTGTAAATATATTGGAAAATGTCATCTAGGAAACGAATGCGTACCTTGAGCAGTAATACTAAAAGTTACTGCTGTTTACAACCTTGAACACACTCGGAAACTACGACATTTAATAAGGGGAAACAACGGAATACTGCTGTTTTAGTTTTAGGTGAAACTTTGTCTTAATTCAGTCATTGAACAGCATTTGTTACTCAAGTCGGAAAGCAAAATATAATTTTCAGCAGTAAATGTATTTCATCTCCGATGCATTTGTAATACACATCGGCCGGCCAGCTAATTGCCGCGTTGTAATTAGAGCATAGCCCATAAATGACAGCCGGCACTCTCATTAATCGTTGCATTAAAGGGCTGACTCCCAGGATAAAACAAATTGTGAATCCACGACCGATCTCAAATGTTTGGTTCAAGACTTCAGGTAGACAAAAACTTTAAGCCCTCAGCTCTACGCGGACAGCCCGGTGAAACAATGAAAGGTTATTAAATAGAAGATTTCGTTTGCCCCTTTATGGAAAGTTTGCGATTAGCTATGAAGCAGGAGCTTTCAGTTTCCATGGCAACCAGTTGACTTTATAAGCAGACGAAATGCAACTCTTGCCAACAGAACAAAGCGTATGACAGGTGTAGTAATATTTGCACAGACCTGCAGCACTATCGCGTCTGAGAATCGTACATGGGGAGACAACCAACCACCAGGCGATCCCAAATAGGTTTTTCTATCTGGTGAGAGCGAAAGGAAAAATCTTTAGAGTCTTCAGTCTGACCAAACGGTCCCTGGAAAGTGGTGGGTCGACATCACGTGTCATCGCTGTACGGGACGCTGATACTTCCTGGTGAAATTCTTACGTATGTGATCACCAGATAACGGACCTTGCAAGGTGGCCTTAGCGGCTATCCAATGCCTTGTTAGCAAAGCTGTCTAGATTCTAGATCGACGTTTACCTAAAAGGCGACCATCTGTTTTCGTGCCAAAGCAGAACTGTATCCCGTATCAGGGTATATCAGCAGCGGCCTTTGATTCGGGCCGTTAGGTGAAGCGGAAAACTGTAGATGCTTAACATATTGACCCTAATGGGGGCAGTCGAGTTTAAAGCTGCCGGTAGTCAGATAAAAACATTTGCCATGTTTACTAATCTGATCTGAAACGTCATTCTAGGTAAATCCTTTCCGCGGCATAATTTCTACAGGTAGGCGAAGCAATATGCATCGATAGACACAGAATCGTTCTCACCGACCTGTTGCCCTGAAACGTCAAGCGCTTCCGTTGATCGAGAACCATTAAGTGTCAATCGCGGTCAGCTAACCTAAGGCAACGGTCCAGGCGAGCGAGATGCGTCACGTGTAATCTATAAATATACTCATAACACTGTACAAAATGGTGATTCAGAGTCCAAAAGTTGATTACCAGGTTTTTGATAGCCAGTCTCTAGAACAGCTTACGTTCAAGCGGCGTCAGACTAGGTATGTATGACGTTATGTAAGCCTGAGTTTAGAGGAAGGTCTATATGAGCCTGACCGAGGCCTTCCTGTAAGGTTGTTAACGAACCAATTTGGACGTCTGTTCGAGAATTCGAAACAGTTATCCAAAACGCATCTCGTTACACGTACGATTCGACCGTACGGTGTATCAGTTCCCCTGGCGGGTTACGCCAGCGTAAAAGTTATGCATTGTAAACACGGTCTAACAGATGGTGCGTGGCCACAAATCGAATCGTCTTTTGGATTTTGCGGTTCAGCTGTCGCCTCCATAAAAAAGATGATTCGTCTCTCCCTACATTATTGGGGATTAAATACGGTAATCCAGATAAGTAAGTGATACCTTGAGACCGCCACGGAACGCTGACGTCTTGGACATTTTTAGGGGTAGTTTGAATATTCTCTTTTCAGAATCTGACGAGTGGTTACTGGCAAATTCCCATGGCTCCCTATCATCCCTAACTGCAAGGGACCCGCCTAATTTTTTCGCAGTAGGCAGAGAACACACATTCGGCTTGTTATTAACGTTACCCAAGGTAAACAAAGACCATCTACTGCTTAGCATCCCGTTAATTCCAGAAACGCTGCACTAAAAAAAAAAACAAATAAATCTCCACAATTAAAGAGTTTACCAAAGGCCGCAATTGAGGTATATCCCTGGTCTGCTTCGGACGCATTAGGGTCTGTCCACGCAGCCCTTCGCCAAATAAGTTTTGATTTTATGAGGCTCCTTCGCGGGATGTTCTCTTGTTCTTCATGGTACATATAAACCATCGTACTTGCTTCTCTCGCCTTTGACGTACTTACCGCTTGACTGCCTGGGACGTGTAAGGGGCGTTCTCTGCCCCCTGAGGATCTACATTCGGAATAGGCACTTCGACCTTTAGCCTCCTCTAGAATCAACTATAAGTCGTTGCCTACGTACAAACGAATGACCTCGCGAAGCGGACGATCCACAAAGTCATAGAGTGATTGTCTACGGGTTTGCTTGTCTTGCCGCGATGCCTCCCGCCGCTGTTTGCACAGTGAAGACTATAGTGAATATAACACTAGCTGCACTTCCCTACAAATTGCTGTGTGAATTCCGTGTTGTTTGATGAGTCCCATAGGTTTCTATATCCCCAAGCAGTCGTTCCCGCTAGCGACGACGGACCCTTGGAAAAATATTCACTCGACGTTGCCGATATGCCCATAGCGTTTTGATGGGCATGTAAGAGCTTTAAACCGCTATGGACTACCTAAAATGCTTACTTTCGTAGAGGTACCTCTTATCTTCCGTTCCTTTTTGTAATGCTGCATTGTAGCTGATTTTCAGCTTATAGAGAAATACAAGTCCAAGCATTAAGTAGGAGTCAGGA